TTCTTCTCGAAACTAACGCTGGAGGCGCGACTCTGCGACCGATCGCGGCCCTTGCCGCCGCCCGAAGAGCGATCGGACTGATGCTCTTGGCTCCCGCCGCGGTCGCCGTTCTTAGCCTTTTCCTCTCCCCTTTCTCCTTGTCCTTACTCTCATTCTTATTTCCTTCGCTCTTTTCGCCGTCTTTGCATGGCTGGGCAGGATCCGCTTGGGCCGGGGCGGCAGGGCCTCCACTTCTTTCGGGCGCTGGCACTGGCGCTGCGTCGGGCATGCGGGCACTTGCCATTGAGAAACTTGTTTCACGGCACCGACATCTTGAGGCGGCCGCCCTTCATGCGCGGGTTTTGATGACTACTCCGCCCCCCCCCCCCCCCTTCGTCCTCGTCGCCCCCCGCAGGAAGGCCTCGAGGGTATAATGTTTCCCGCTACCATCCTCGGTTACTACGCCTTCTTTCTTTGCGCGTGGAGTCGTTGGCCCTCGACGACAGCCATCCGTAGGTCTTTATGCCAGTCCCGCAATGATCGCCGCAATGCTCGTAGATGACAAGGGTGAACTGCATGCAAGGTCATGTCTGCATTTGGCGATAGAAGCGTTCCTGTATGCGGGGCGAAGGGAGGCGTCCAATTCCTTCATTTCGTTGAATGTCCCCACCCATTCATCGCAGAAATGGAACAGGTAGGGATCCGCCTCCTTACCAAAGCCGCGGGTATTGATTTCCATGAGACCCGCGCACGTGCACACTTGACAGTGCTTCTGCCCGGCGGTCACGCGCGCGGCAACGATGCGGAGCGCATCGCGACCATCGTGCTCCAGGCGGTCTGCTAGGTAATATCTGAGCGTTCGATATGGCTCGCGAGATGGCGTAACTGTGACGGTAACTGTCTGTATTTGACGATCTTGTTAACCATCGACATGAAACCAACTACTGTTATCATCGGGTCAAGCCGGAAAAAAGATGCCCGGGTCTCTCAACCCCCTGGCATCAACATTCTTCACGTCGACAGCACTCAGCTAACGGCGTCTTCAGAATTCGGCGAGACCGAGGCCGCCGCCCAGACGACATCGCACCTCCATCGCTGGCAGTTAGCAGCATCAGGAATCGCCCCCGATACGATCTTCCCCGTCTTAGCAGCACCGCCCCAGCGTGGCCGGGGCGACGCCCGTCGACGGGGTCGGGGGGGCATCGCCGCCGCAGCCGGCGCCGGGCGAGCCGCCTCCAGGCGGTCCTCCGCCGCGTCGGCGCCGACGATCTGGATCGTTTTCCCCGTCTCCATCGGGCGTCGAATATCCGTCGTCTCATCCTCGCCTCCGTCGCCAAGAGAGGTCCGAGCCAGGGCGCCCGGGCACTGGCGCCTTCCGCGGGGGTGTCGACTCGCTAGTATTATCTTTCTCCCCGAAGATCGTCGGTGACCCCCCCCCCCCGGCGCAGGAGGCGCGCATCCATCCTGGGAAGGAGGTGGCTGCGTTGACGTGCCCCCGACTCTGATATTCCCGCGCTGGCAGCCGCTTCAGCCCTTGCCTCGCGCATCTCCCGGGCGCTCACCCGGCGTTCAGCATGCGCCCTGGCGCCCCCCTCTTCTCGCTACGTCGCCTGCTCGAGCCTTCCCATGAGCCCCATGTTCAGCCTTCGCAGCTTCCTCGAACGCAAGAAGCCTCTTCAACTCGGCGCCCTCGGCCCGCCGACCATCGCTCCCCGGGGCGCAGCTCCGGGCGCGACTAAGCCGAAGCATGCGGTCACGAGGATGGGGCCCTCGGCATAGACGCAGCGGCGCCGTGTTCCCGGAGATTCTCCCTGGCCCGACGTTGCTCGCATCGCTTTTTTTGTGTTAAAAATTAATATTAATATCTTTCCCCGGGGCCTGTCCTCGCCCTCGTTCTCCTCGGCTGCCGAGCCCTTTCCATGGCAGCGCGCGCGCGCGTCTTGCCGCCCCATGCAGCATGATCGCCACGAACGCCTTTGTCGCAGAGACGGCAGTCGTGCTTCTCCACCTTGGAGCGCAGGGCGCACCGCGGAGCTCCCGCGCGGGGATTCTGGCCTGGGCCCGCATCCGCGGCCGGTCGCCCAGGCGCGGTCGGCGCCAACGGCAGGGCAGTAGATGCAGCCGCCGTACTCTCCTGGATCGCAGAGCCAGTGCCCAGAATAATTGCCGGAGACGCCCCCTCGGGATGCCACTGTATCTGATGTTGGCCAAGTTTGCGACGAACACCCTCGCGAGCGCGTAGCGTCTCGGCCTCAGATCGAGCATGGCTCTCACGCGCGACGCGTCGGTTCGCATCGGCCTGCTGCATGGCAGCGGCGGCCTCGGCCGACAACTGCGTATTCCGATCCTCTGCTGCGTATTCCGATTCTCTGCTGCCTGCAACTCCATGGCGGCCCGCGTCGTCGTCGCCCGTCGGGCTGAGGCGACAATGATTTCGAGCTCCCGCATTTCCTCCGTGGCGGCACATGCCTGTTAGGCCGTCGCCGCCTCGTGGCGCTCTCCCAGGGTGCGCGCGGCATTCGCCGCGGCCCCCGGGCCTCGCCCCAGTTGATAGGCAGCGGCTGCCCGTTGTTGCAGTTCCTATTGCCTCAGCTGCTCACGCATTTCAGCCAGATCTCGCTCTCTGACCTCCATGATCTCGAACCCCTTCCTTTCCTCGGCCTCGCAACACTCATTGACTCGTAGTCCGGCGCAATTGTGAGGATGCGAGCCGGGGGCCGCGCGCGTCGGGCACAAGAAGTCGAGGTTGCAGGGATCGCAACTGTTGGAACATCCGAAGCAAACGGGCTTCTTACACTTACCCAATCGGCCGGGGCACCGCGACACTGGCACTTCAGCACACTTGTGTCCATAGTTGGCCACTTGGCATTGATCCGCATGCTGAAGGTGCTCGACCTTCCCGATAGGGTTGGGCAAATCGGATACCTCAGACCGCGGCCTCGGGGCCCTGGGTGAGAGCGGGTGCGCCGGTCAGAGGGACTCAACCGCCAAAATCCGCCTGAGGACCCGGGGGCGCTGCTGCCGGGCATCCCCCCCGGAACGAAAATAGAGTCTTGCTCCGGGATATCGCCAGACCTGCTTCGCTTCCCGAGGCGGATAGTCGAGAGGCAAGTAGCTTCTCGTCTCTGTTTGCTCACCCACCGCACGGGGACGTCCACGGACTCCACATCTATGATGTCATCCAAGTGCCGTTCCAGAGAACCATCGGATGGAATCGCTGCATCTTCGCCACGCATGGGCGGCACCTGCTCGCAACGTTACTGTAGGTCACCCAACGGGACGGGAGACATACGGTCATAGACTTCGAACCCCTCGACAGACGGCTCCTGGTCCCCATGGAGGGCAATCGGCTTGGGCGTAGACCTTCGCGACAAATTCCTGTCCGATGATCTGGCCTCCACGCCGCGGTCGTCACTCGAGAGGTGCCCAGAAGCGCCCGCGCGGTTGTCGAGCGGAACGAAGTCTGTACATTCATCTCCGTCTTGGCCCTGTCGAATGGTGGTCTCGTTCTGCGGTCTCGGAGCACCAGGACGAGGCACGTCGGACGTTGGCTCGATCCCCCAACGTCGTCGGCGGAATCGAGTTCAGGAACATCCACACTCATTTCATGGCGCGATCTTTCTCTGGGGGCGTACATCGTCTTCGGGTGAAGGGAACATCGTTCCCCCATCAGGTAGAATCACTTTGGTCGAAAACAGAACTTTCGGTCGATAGCCCGTAAGTTGTCCGTTTTGTTGATACGGGCTTGTCCTTGGCCATGTGGATCGGCAAAATCGCGTTCGTCTCGTAATCCTCCTTCCTCATCATCTTATTGTTGAAGCCTCTTGCTCAGGTTTACCTTCGGTGAAAATGATGAGGGAGATGCGCCTCTCCATGCCATAGTGTAATGGGTGTGGTAGGGTGTCCGTTAAGCTTCGAGCCAGCTACCAACTACTAGGCGGGGGGCAAGCTGGCCGAGGGGCGGGCGGACGCGCGGTTTTTCTTGAGCCAACACTGCGACGACGCTGTGAATCATAACTGGGCCCGGGGGTGTATAACACAACTGATGATGATGATGATGATGATGATGGTGATGATGATGATGATGATGATGGCGATGCTGCGAATGATGATGATAATGGTGACGATTATGTTGATGCTGCGGATGCAGGTGATGATGCTGAGTATGCCGATGATGCTGATGAAGATGGTGATGAGGATGATGATGATGAAGATGTTGATGCCGATACCGAAGCCGATGCTGCATTTGCTGCTGATGATGCTAATTGCAATGATGACGAAGATGAGGCTGATGCTGATAATGATGACGATGACGGTAATGGTAATGATACTGATACTGATAATGATAATGATACTGATAATGATAATAATGATGATGATGATGATGATGATGATGATGATGATGATGATGATGATGATGATGTTGATGAGTCTGATGACGATCATGGCGTGCTGAGGGCAGAGGCAGGGAGGGGAGGGAGGGGGCAGCGGGAAGAAACGAGGACGCGGGGCGCTGTCTATTCGATACGATTACCCAACACCACAAGATGGCTGGGAAACAAACCAGGATGATGAACTGGTGCCCGTACCTTTTCCTCCTCCTCCTCCTCCCGTTCCTCATCATCGTCATCCTGCTCCCTGCCCTCCTTCCCCCTTCCTGGGGGAAAGCCCCTGGGGTCCAGGACCCCTTCCCCACCAGAACCGGTTTCCTCCATGGCGGCTGTGGGTCGACGAGCGGGGGCCACCTCGACGTCGACGCCGTCGCCGCTGCCAGCGCCGTCGCCTCCGCGAGCGCCGCTGCCGCCAGCGCACCCGCCGCCGACAGTGTTGCCGCCGTCGCCACAGCGCCGCCGTCGCCGCCGTCGATTACTCCGCCGCCAGTCGATTACTCCGCCGCCGTCGCCACAGCGCCGCCGCCGTGACCCCGCCGCCGAGCGTCGCCGCCGCTCCAGGGCCGCCGCCGCCGTCAGCGCCGCCGACGCCGCCAGCACCGCCGGTGCTGAGACCCCGCGGTTCCCCTCCACTTCGAGCGGTTCCGCCGAGCCCATGGCGGGGGCGGCCGCCGCCATGGGTGGCTGCAGGCCCAGCCCGGCGAGAGGTGAACGAGGTGGGCCGCCGGCCGGGGCTGATGGGCGCGCAGGGGAGGGGAGTGACTGACGACTCTTTGCGTTCGACGCGACATGGAACAAACGCTCAGCATAAAAAGAATATGAAAGTGCTGGTGCCATCAGGTCCGAGCGGTACTCGTTGAGCACTGGCTGATGGGATCCCCGCTAGGGCCTTGATTCGCCATGGCACTTAAGCCATGAAGAGAAGGTGTCCTGAGAGGACCCTGTCCTGATGTCTGCGCTGCTCTTTCTGTGCCCCTCCCCAGACATCTGTAGCCCTCGCTTTTTCTTTCGGTGTCTGAGTCCCCAGATCTACCAGCCCTCGCCATGAAGCAGGCGGGCCCTCAGGTCAGGAGATACTGAGTCAATCCGGAGTAAGTCCATACGGAGTGCTTGGTCTCCGTCGGGGCTTGCTCCATCTGGACCTCGCCTCCCCCGATCGAGCACACGGGTCCTGGAGGCTTTCTGCCGTCTTCGCGCTGACAGGGCCCTCCTAGGGACCCAGGACCGCTGGAGAACGACCTGGCATGAGAAACTGCCCCCTCGGGGAACAGCCCCTGGGTCCAGGACCCATTTCTCTCAGGACCCCTTTACTTCGTCAAGGCGAAACTAGGATAACATCGGGTGAGGATGAATCGAAAATCTCTCAGATCTGGCGGCTCTGGAGGATATCTTGGGCGCCGCGGCCTTCTCAGAGCGTTCCGGAACGCTCTGAGAGCGTTCCGGATCGCTCTGGAACGGATTTACCTCGTTCTAGCCCCGTCCGGTTCCTGCCGAGTCCCTCCTCGCGGTCGAGCGCGCGTGATGGTGGTGGTGGCGGTCATCCTTGCGATCCGACGTTGCCAGCAACACTGCAACATCGTGGAAACGACCTGAGCACTGGATCCCGTCTTTCTGCTTTATTTTTCAACCCAAATCAATTCGTGAGGATGCTGGGGCCCGAAAGAAGGCAAAATCGCCCGCTGTGACAGAATTGCGATGCCAGGACCTCATGGGCCGTCGTCGTCAGATGTCCTACCCTCCCTCTCGTCCGACCCGAACCTCCGACCCGATCCGCTCCTCGCTCGCCTTCCCCCCTCTCGGGCCCTCTCCCCGCCCCCCCTCCTGGCTGGCTCGTGGCAAAACTGGGTGGCACAGACGCGGCCCAACCAGGATGGCGCGCCGAAGGCCTCAGGGCGGAGCTCGCCCACCCAGGAAGGGTGATCCGCCCCACACGCTGGCCCTCCCCCACTTCCCAGTGGGCTGAGCCTGGTGCCAAGAGCGATGCACAGAGCAATCCCTCCTCGACGCGAACGGCTCTGGGCCCGTTCCGCTCGTCGCTCCGGGAGGCGGGCCGCCCGCGCGTCCGCGCGGGAGGCGGGGGGGGGAAACGCGGGTCTTGTGGTCGCAGGCGCGCGAAACGCGCGGCGCGTGCCTGACCACAGCGGCGGCGAGAGAGGGGCGGAGAGGAATGGAGAGCAGGGCTCTCGTCCTCCTCCTCCTCCTCCTCCTCCTCCTCCTCCTCCTCCTCCTCCTCCTCCTCCTCCTCTCCTCCTCCTCCTCCTCCCCCCCCCCTCTTGTCCCTCCCCTTCCTGTTCTTCCTCCTCCTCCTCCTCCACCACCTACCCCTCCTCCCCTCCTCCTCCTCCTCCCCCTCCCCCATCCACCTCTTCCTCCTCCTCTTCTCCCCCCTCCTCCTCCTCCTCCATCCTGTTCCTTATGAGGAACTCGTCCATGTCGCATCCCCAGACATGTCGGTAAGGCGGGCTGGGCGTTTCACCTGAGATTTCCTCACCATGTATAATCTGGGAACTTGAAGTTTGCAGCAATTTCACGGATGGAAGGCGGGCTGTTTTCCAAATGTGGTTCTTGCCTTAACGCCACGAGAATGTGTCTTACAAGCTCGCAGCAAGCTTACTGGTGGAGGCCGGCTCCTTTTCAACATGTGGCCCTCGACTTAACGCCGCTCAAATTAGCATAACGGTTTGCAGTCTTTTCACGGATGGAGGGCGCTTCTTTTTCAAACTGAACCTTGCGGGCGGTCATCGTGCAACGTTGAATCGCGGTCACGAAAGCGCGGGGCGGGCGCCCCCCACCCCGGCCCCCATGCCTGGGCGAACGGGAAGGGGCGCCGCGCGACGCGCAGCGGCGCGGGGCGACGCTTGCCCAGGCGATGGGCGCGAGGCGTCGCGCAGGCCGCCCTGCTTGCCTGGGCGAGCGCGCGAGGGGGCGTGTGCGCCGCCCAGGGTTAGGAGGGGCGTCGCGCACGCACGGCTGGTGGGGGGTGTCCCGCCATGCTCGGCGAGAGGCACCTGCTGTGCGGCTTTTGGCAGTCCACCGTGGCCGTGCGTGCGGGCGCCGTCGCGCGCTTGTCCATTTGACGTGCAATGCCTGGTGCGGCTCTTTGCACGTGTGTGGCATGTGTCCTCGGTTCATCCGCGATCGCATTTTCGTACGCGTGTGGTGTTTGGATGGCCCGTGTGTGGCACTTCTGCCCGTGTGTGGCACGCCCGTGTGTGGCATCTCGCCCGTGTGTGGCATCTCGCCCGTATGTGGCACTTCTGCCCGTGTGTGGCACACCCGTGTGGCATCTCGCCCGTGTACGGCACCTCCGCCCGTGCGTGGCACGTCCGTGTGTGGCATCTCGCCCGTATCTGGCACCGCCTCCCGTATGTGGCACTTCCGGCCGTGTGTGGCACTTCGCCCGTGTGTGGCATCTCGCCCGTGCATGGCACCTCTGCCCGTATGTGACACGCCCGTGTGTGGCACCTCCGCCCGCATGCGGCACTTTTGCCCGTGTGTGGCACGCCCGTGTGTGGCATCTCGCCCGTGTGTGGCATCTCTGCTTGTATGTGGCACACCCGTGCGTGACGTCTCGCCCGTGTGTGGCTCCTCCGCCTGCATGTGGCACTTCTGCCCGTGTGTGGCACGCCCGCGTGCGGCATCTCGTCCGTGTGTAGCACCTCTGCCCAGATGTGGCACGCCCGTGTGTGGCATCTCGCCCGTGTGTAGCACGTCCGCCCGCATGTGGCACTTCTGCCCGTGTGTGGCACGCCCGTGCGCGGTCTCTCGTTCGTGCCCCTCTGCGCGCGCGTTGCGCGCGTCCTCGGCTCATTGGTGGCCGCAAATCCGCGAAGTAATGGAAGTAACGCGTTCCGCCCGCGTCGTCCGCGCAGTGCGCAGCTGATCCGCGGAGAAGTTCGGTTTCGAAGTTGCGTGGCCATCATGGCCTCTTGCTCCTTTCCTGCTTGGATGGCCGAAGTTGAATCCGAGGCCCCGCGAGGGGGTGAATTCTACAGGAATTTGGCAGAGTCGCTGAAGCAGAATGACGTGACTCACTGGGCGCACCTGCTCGAAGTGGATCCGAATTCATTGGGGGGCCTCGACTCGGCTGGAAAAGTGAGCGCTCGACGCGCGGTGTCTGCTGGCCTGCCGACGCGGTCTGGCAGGCGGGATGCGTCGAGGCATTGGTCCGGGCGGCTCGCGAGCAGAAAGACCCTGGCCTGGTGCAGCTTGCGACAGCGGCGGGGGATATGTCCCGCCTCGAAGAAGCGCTGCGTTCCACGCGCGAACCGACCGCCAAGCACGTGGCGATTGGGCCCGCCATTCACCAGGCGGGAGGTTCCAGGGTCTCGCGTGCGTCGCCGGGCGTCGGTGCGTCAAGCGTCCCTTCGCGATTTGCCGCCGGCCTTCTGGCCGTCTTCCGCGGCGGTCGACGCGCTGGAGGCCCAGGCAGCGAAGCTCCGGCGCGAGGGCGTGGCCCATCCGTATGCGTTGCCGGACCTCAAGGCGAGATCGATCTGCGCGCGTCCGCGCGGCGCGACACGTTGGCGCGCGTGCAAGGCTTTCCTGCCGCGCTGGGCCCCGGGCAAAGCGCCGGGGGCGGAGGCGGATCCCTCGGACGCTGGGGTCCAGAAAGGGCTGCTACCATTCAACCAGTGGCACGCGGCCTTTGATGCGCACGCGGCTGCGGCAGCGATCCTGGACGACCAGCCGAGCTTCATGTCGCCGTGGTGTCATAAGCAGCACGTGCTGCAGGTGTCTTTTGCCCGAAGTGCGCGGCGGCGTGGTCCCGCGCCGGCGCGCCGCAGGTAGCCGCGCGAGCGAATTCGCTCAACAAGCGGCCGCACTTGGCGTTGTACTTTGACGTGGTGGCGCGCCGCTCGTGGGCAGAGAGATCCAGGGCGGGACGCCCGACCTTAGAGGTTCCGCGACGCGGGTGCGTCTTTGCGCTCGACCCGGCCTCCGCTTTGCTTTGTGAGTAAACCGCGCTGCGCAAACGTGAGGCGAAGGCTTGTTGCGCGTGGCCTTAGCCGCGTGCGACGCGGCGGAGTGAAAGCAAGCGAAGGCGTCGGCACCTCGTCAAGGGCCCCCAGCGGGGAGCGGCCGCGGAAGCAAGGGGGGCCGGGCGAGCGACCGCCGGGGCGACAAGTACCCAACTGCGGGGTCTGCCGCGAGCGGGCACCGCGGCGGCTGGGTCAACCGCGGGAGCTGGCGCGCCAGGAACCAGTGCGAGAAAGAGCGAGTGGTCCAGCAAAGGGGGCCGCAGGGGCAAGCGCGGCAACTCGGCGGCACCAAAGGCGCCCGAGAAGCGTGGCCAGCGCTCGCGAGGCGAGTTTGGCATCGCGGGGGGGGGGCCGCGCCTGTCGACCGCGCTCGCATTGCCCGCCAGGCCTTGGGCCAGTGCAGTGCGCGATGGAGGAGCCAGCTGCCCAGCGAGTGAGCGCTGCCGCGCGCGACGTGAACGCCGGGGGGCGATGCGAGCCCCCAGACCGCGCTGACAATGCACAAGGGGTGGCGCAGGCATCTTTTGCGCCATTGCTGCATGAGGCGTCCTTGGCGGATGCAGCCGAAGATGTGCCGAAATTCGAATTCACGCGCGGCGCGTTGGGATCTGCCCGCGCGCGGCCGGCTCCCCCTGTTGCCGATGGAGAAATCCGCGACATCTTGACGTGGTCTGCGGCGACCGGCCCCAGCGATGCTGCGCGCGCGAGGGGCGGCTGGATCCGCGAGATTGAACGCCGTGGCCGATCGTTTGAA